TATCGATCGTGTTAAAAATTGAGAAACATTAGAAAGGGAAATGGTAACAATAACCTCTAGAAAATTTGAAAGCTTTTTCATAATTTTCCCGTTGTTTGTTTTTCTCAAGGACATTCCAAAAAATTTGCTTGAAACGTTAAAGAAATTTTAATTAATAAAGCAATTCATATCGTCGCTTCTGAGTCGAAGCTTCTTCTCTTCTTTCGAAAGACTGGACGGAAATGAATCGAGTAGAAATATATAGTATATAGTATATATATATCTCGTCTCTTTGGCGTTTGCATCTCAAGGACCCCACCCAAGCGTGTATTCGATCATGTTCATTCCGCGCTTCGCATTCCCTCGTTCGACGTAGCCCTAATGGCTAAATGTTACAATCGTCCCAGCATATCTCGCCTATCTCGCTTCCTCTTTCCCGGAACGGAGAGGGGAAAAGAGTTCTCTCTCTTTGCCGAGGACGACGTTTTTACTTCCCATTGCGAGCGTTACATTTACGTAGGGCAACCGCGCTGACCTGCCACCCGCGCGAATGCAATCCGATCGGATCACCAGGCGATCGGCGGCGTGCGAACTCGGCTATCTCGTCCGACACCTCGCGCAAGCATAACTCGTTGTAAAAGTGAAAAATGAGAGAGAGAGAGAGAGAGAGAGAGAGAGAGATGTGAGAAGGCTCGCGTATTACGAAATTAGCCGACGTGAATAGTGCGAGTCAAACGCAGAAGTAAAATTAGCATAATCAATGTAATAAGCCGAGTGTTAAGTAGTTCCAAGGAATAATAGATTATTCGGTAGACAGGATCTTTTAGGCGTCTAATGATGATTATATCCTGATGATAATATCCTTTTTAAAATTTATACCTATGAATTCAGGGCGACAGTTGCTTAAATCGCGAACCATGTTGTCGCTATTTTCAACGGACTTGTAATGCTTAAAATTAAAGTTAAATTATTTTCTCTTTAGTAAACTGATAATCAAATTACTTTGAAATCAATTACTCTTTCTTTTTCCACAAGAAATTTCATCCCTACAGATGTAAATTCTGAAAAAGAATAATTATTATATGTTTAAAGTCTATCAAGGTGATACCATTTATCCTATTCTTTGAAAGTTAACATATTTTCTCGTCCTGTAACTTTCGATTTTTTTTTTTTTGTACAAGTACACAGGTATTTTTTCTATTAACAATATTGTTATACATTATGTATTATTATAGAAAATTATAAATTATCTTTCCAGGTACATTAGAGTTTGAATTGGTAGACGTTCCAAGTATTCATTCTTTCTCGTCAAATTGAAACACAACTTTTCTCAATTGAGATTTGCAATATAGTCCCCGGTGATTTGCATTTAATAATACAGAATTCCGTTAGATTAAAATAGAGAGTCTAACCGCATGTTTAGTTTTACTGTACTGTAGACAAATGTAAAAATGAAGAACTACCGGTAGAAATGAGATATCACAGTTTACGAATTAGACTAAGCGTTGCTTGTCTCTCGCAACGCTTAGGAGAAAACCACGGAAAGGAGAATCGCCGTCGGAATTTTGAAATAGCGAGCACTTTCACGTAGTAGCGCTTTTCTCGCTCGTGTGTGTGTGTGTGTGTGTGTGTGTGTGTGTGTGTCTTGCGTGCGTGTGCGTGTGTGCGCGTGTGCATACGCATATTGCGATCGTCGGACCAGTTTCTCTACGTGCAACGTTATATCAAGCATATTGTTGCCAAACACTTGGGCAATTTCACACGAGAACTCGTTTTTAGCGAGATATCTAAAAAAATCGAATAAACCGCGATAACAACATAATTTTCGAATATCGGCTCCAGATGCATTAATTATTTTCGATTTACTCGTAGAACTTTAATTTACTCTACCCCCCCCCCTCCCCTACGCTACTCGACTACGTTTCGTAATTATAAGTAGGATTTTTATTTTCACGACTATACTTTTTACTGTAGTTGTAGTTAAACGGGTCTTCTCCAATTTCCATTCCGCAATCTTGAAAGCATCTCGAGCAGGTACACGCCTAAATGGAATTCACGCCTACTGTCGATCGTTACCACTCGATTATTTCTGGCCGCAGGAGTGTTACCGATCCAGGAATCTGTACGGTCAGCGCCAATCTCCTCCCACGCTTTGATTCTGCTCGACTTACTAACGGAAAGTTCAAGCAATCGTCGAACTCTCGAGTCGGATCGAGTCTTACTTAGATCTCTCTGTAACTAAGCTGCTTTGAGAAATAATATCTCTCCTCATTAATTGCATCTCCGCGTTGCATTTCCGAGATATTTATCCCCTCGAGCACTTCAGCTTGCTTATTATTGAAGAAATTTTGTCGCGTTCAAAATTGTTTTCTATATTTAGTATTCGGTATTTCGGTAACGCATAAAAAAGATGTCGTTTATATTTCGTTTATATCTGAAAAACTTCTGAAGATTTATCCTCGTCGTCGAAAGAAAAGAAACGGCTTCAGCTTTCGGAACGGAGAATATATCGACGTGCGCTAATAATACGTTTGTTACGAGAAGCGCTTTATATTTACTTTCAAATACTTCGAAAACGTTCCTCCATAGGCAAAATAATGTCTTATGCAAGGAGGTTGGATTTTCCCGGTGGAATTACGCATTACGTGCACGGAGGAAGGAATAAATGCGGGGAACCGGCTCGCGAAGGACGAAATCAATCTGGTGACAGCAGCAGATCGCAGCGGGCGATCGGCATGAAATCTACCTAGTACCAGACGTTAGATAAGTCGGCCGTTTCAAGGATAACGGTCGTGTAAATGCAGAAGCGGCTCGCTGTAAAAGCGGCTCGGAAACGTATCATCATACATATCCCGTTTCGCGTGCCGTCCCGGTCGCCCCGGTCTAGTCCCGTTTATTTCTTGCGGAGAAAATAAAAGGTTCGAAGTGCAAAAGTAGGTCGGTCCGTCGCCGCCGGATCGTGTTTCGGTTTGGGACAGGTGAGTCTCCTCTACTTCCGGTGGTGCCCTGCCCCATGTACACGAATCGCATTATTTCTCCAATGCGCTCACGTAACGTATCGCACAGCATTTTAATTTAATTTAACGAAAATTTTGTGTCACCAGTATTTTGAAACAGATACTTTCAATAATAAAATCCCAATCTAATTTTCTTCGCGCTAAAATTATAGAAGACATTTAATTTTTCAAGTTTATAATATTGTGAATTTTTAGTATTTCCTCGAGTCCTTTTAATTTGCATTCATGAGAGATCTTTTTTAATTGCTAAATTTTATAATTACCTAACTTAATCAAGGACTACGAGAATCGCGTGAAATCATTTATCGTGTCCGCGACACATGCGAGAATTAACGTAAGCGGCTCTCGTTTGCGTCATAGCGAAAATGTGTAATTATATTAGGTGGAATGTGTGGCTGCGGAGCGAATTTAGTCCATGGCAGTTTATGGCTGTGATAAAAAAAAAAAAAAAAAAAAAAAAGAATATATATTCTATTGCGCGAATTAACGCGACTGTTAGACAGCAACGAAACGCGCGTCACGAAGTAGAACGGGATAGCGTAGCCCCGAGACTTTTACTCGCTGGCATTTAAAGGCGAGTTATGTTCTCGCTCCTGAAAGAGGAATGGAGATATTTCGCGGTATCCTAGGAAAAGGAGAGAAACGTGATAAGAAGTATTTTGGACCTTTAGCCACTTCGCGAAGACTGCGGGAGAATACGCGAGATGCGGTATAGGCCAATGATAGTGGGTCTTCATCTACGGATATATACCGGGTGACCTCGAGACACCAGAAAACCAGCGAGGACGGGAACCGAGAGAGTGGGCGAAGTACCTGTTTTTGCTCGCTTATATTCTCCTTTCCTTGCTCGCGCCAGGGACAACGCGAAATACAACGCGAGCCTGTCGAAGGAATTCTTTACCTTTTCTCTTCTAGGATTCCGAAGCTGCACTCCGCCGCTTTTTAGGGGGGGGGGGGGGGGGCGGGGGGAGAGCCTATTCTCACACAAACGACTCAAAACGAGTGGCTGTTTTCTCTGGCGAACGGTCAATCTCGCGTCCATTTTATATCGACCGTTTGTCCTCGGAGGACAAACCGGCTCGAATGGCTCGATCGTCGTCCGTTTATACAGCCGTCCTTAATTAATTCCGCGCATTGACTTTTCCCGAGCCTTCTTGAGTAGAAGAGTAAATGAATGTTTAGGGAAATTCATCCCGTTGTATCCGTGGAGATGCCTCGTCATTGGGAGTGTTGCACCCGAGGAATGCGCTATCGAGTAGGACGCTACTTGGAGAGACGCAAAGAGGATACACGCGTATTTGCGCGTATCTACTTTGTACTTCGAGAGATCGATCGCGAGCGATAGGAAGCTTTCAACGAGGAGGGAGACCCTCTTTTGTAAAACGCGCATCCTTTTTTTCTCGGCGGGAAACGCCTCGATATATATCTGAATTGTGCAACCGAAACTTTTAGCTTGCGAGAGAAAGAAAGGGAGAGGAAAGATGGAAAATTTGATGGCGGCGTAATGAAGTTTTTCTCAAGTAATTAACTGAAAATAACCGAAGGATTTTTGATCCACGATTCAGCGTGTATTTGAATATAACAAAGTATGATGCTTTTTCGATCATCAATTTAAATATCATTTAAATAGAAATTTAAATAGAAGCCCAATTTGCAAGATGACGTCCGTTCCAATTGAGAAATTGCAGAATTGACAGTACCCCTCGTCACGTTTTTCGCAATCGAGGTGGTGATTTCTTCATTCTTATATGTCATATCTTATGTATGACTTCCAGAAGATGAGAAATGAATAGTCTGTACTTCATCATTACGTAAGGCATGCTGATCCATTAAACCCCCCTTGCAAAAATATAATATCAGCTATTTCTACTATAACATAATTGAATTGCCTGGCCTGGATTATTTCCAATTCAAAACCTTTCAATTCGCCCCCTGTTCCTGGCTGCGATCTGACTCACATTCATTTTCACAGAATTTATATGCATATCTATGGACAATACGTGCCTTGCGCGTACGCGAGACTTCCCACGAGGGGCAGGATGATCCCGTACACCAAGATCATTCTCCACGAATCGGGTGGGATCACATCGACGATCCAGCGACGAACCAGGAACCACCTCAGCACGGGAACATCCGCGGAGCCCAGCTAACAGAAAGTCTCCAGGGAGCACTCGCGCACCATGAAACTTTCACACAAGATATATACGTTTTTTCTTTCCTTACCGTCTCTAACCGAAACCGATACCGAAGCACCGTCACCGGATGAAACGATCCAACGATAACGATCCAATCGATACTCCACCTGAGAACCTAAACGTCCCTCGGATCTCTCCTTAGATTCTCTCTCAGCGTTTCCTTCGACGCTGATCCTTCCCAAGGTGTTGTAATTAGATTCTACGATTCTAATTCTCTCACCATTGATATATACTTTCGGTAAATAGTTCGATTCTCTGACTCACTTCCTCGCACGATCTTCGCACTCAACGGCCAACCCTCGAATCAACAATCGAATATCACAACTCGATCCATGGATCATGGGGACCCTCAGGCTAACCGCGAGATTGTTGCGTCTCCCGATGAATTTTCATTCATGGTTGAACATGGTGGTCTCAATCACTCGTTTCGTCTAGTGCTAGTTCACTTGCTTGCGATCCTCCGAATTTAACGATACTCAATTTAACTACGTGAAACTACGTGAAGTGAATGAGGGATTACGACGGCACTAACTCGACGGCATTTTACCCGCGGTATTTTGCTTGCCGTGCAATGAGTCGGAATAACCGACGACGATCCGTTCCCTTCACCGGTTGACCGTCGAGTGCCCCGAGCCCGAGGCCCCCTTTGCTCTCTCGACGGCGATGAAAGTTTCGCGCTGAGCCGAGCCGATCAGCCGAACCACGTTCAGCTACGTTCTGCTGCTACGTTTTCGTGTAGCGTAAGCATCAGCGTTAGCTATTATTATTCATCTTAGATCTTTGTGTTCGTATAATCATCTTTAACCCAGGTGTTCCTTAAAATGCCACACGAGGCAAATATTTGAATATTTTGAACGGGGAGAAATTAATTCTTGATTTTTAATTTAATCATCTGAGTTCTTTAAAACAAAAATCTTTACAATCTTTATATTAATCTTTACGCAGAAATAATAAGATAATAATATACTTTTTATATAACAATTAGGCAGTGCCAAAATGATAATTATTCTCATAAGAAAATGTAAAATACTTGATTTCTAAAAGGAAGATTATTAGGACAGGATTTTTTACAAAGATGATTAAAAATTAGGATAGACGATTGATGTACATTTTGAAAATAATTGGGCAATAAAATGTTAAAGAATATTATGTTTGATAGATACTATTCTCTCTGCAATTTCTTAATTAAGTCATATGGCGAAATGGAGCCGTGTGCATTGATATTGCTTTACTTACGTATAAACTTTCACATTAATTACTAACGTTAAATATATATACGTTAAATCTAATCAGTCTTATTTTAAAATTTTTTACAAAAATAGCAACTTTAATTCTTTAAAAATATAATTCTTCTAAAATTTAATACAAATTTCAACGAAATATTTTATATAAATAAAAAATGCTGTTTTTATTATTAAAATGTGGTCAGGATGTGTCATTCCGGTTTACATTGTCAAAAGCAAACCGGTAGGGTTCCCAAATTTCTTAAATTCTCCAGCAAATGGGTACTAAATCCCGTCCGTGCTCTGATTATCCATCGACAGCCTAGAAACACAACGCTCGGCTAAGTTCTGGACTAAAACCGGATTAGATTGAAAAATCGCCATCTATGACCGATCGACCCCCTTTTGAAGATCGCAATTACGTTAAAAGGGACCGGTTTCATCGTAAAAAATATCTTCTCGAGGATGGACCGCTTCTTAATTGAGATTTGATATAATTGCAATTGTAGCTATGGATTAACAATAATATGTATGAAAAAAATAAAAAAAACTAAACAACTCAAATGTATTTATATTTTCTAAGGAAATTTCCAGAAACAAAGAAAATGTTTTATTTATATCGTTATATTTGGAATAGAAATTTAATTTATCAAAATATTAAGAGGAAATTAATCTTAAAAACTGGAATTAAAAGTTTTGATAATTTTTTAATTTATGAATAAAAATTTTTTTAAGTTTTGACGGATTAAAAATTTTTTTTTAATCAAATCAATTTTTCAAAAGTTTTCTAAACAATGCCTTAAGTGTTTAATTGAAAGTCATTATAATTAAAATCCATCCTGATTAACATGATGAAAACTATCAATTTGCGTGTAACAAAAATATAAAAATTGACTCTTCGGATTTTTATTTCTCTTCTTTTCTTTTTTTTTTTTTTTTTTTTTTTATTTATTTTGTATTAGTAAATTTTTAAAACTATATCACTAATTTTTAAATTTTTCCTCAGGAAACTGTCATAGACGTAGAATTCTGTTGATTTCATCGAAATCCAAAGACTAGGATTTCAGCTTCGCAAACAATCAAATGTGAAAAAAAAAAAAAACTAGTCAATCATGGTCAGTGACGCGAACAGTTCGCCTGTAAGGTTACCTGCGACTTTACCGTTAAGAGTCCCCTCTCTGGGCCTTTGAGTCCCCGGCCACTTCTTGGGCCCTCTCCTCCATTCCCTTGTAATTCTACCGCGATATTCCGCGCGATCGCGTTTCCACCTTCGGTGTCTCCCGCTCCTGTGCTTACTTGATCTTTTTTTAATCATCTACCGACGTCAGTCTGGGCCCCTTTCACCTCCAACGGGGCTTACCTCTTCTCTGTAATCGTTTGAAAAACGAAGGCACATACGCATATACGTATACATATACACTCGACGTGTATCGCCCCTTTAGACTAAGAAATAAGTGCAATTAAAAAACGTGACAACAGTGTTCTAAGATATGATTGTTAATCAATAGGATTCCGGAAAGTAGCTTTTAGCGAATTAAAATTTTTATTATTCGAGTTAAAGAGTATAGAGTATATTTTAGGTTTTCTTGTAATTATTAGATTTGTTCTTTATTTATTTTTTTTTTTAATTAATATTTTCAATAACAATAATTTTTATTCTTTTTTTTCGTCGGAAGAGAAAAATTTTATACTATTTATAAATATTTTAATATATGTCTAGATAATTCTAATAAAAGGGATGTTTTTATTTTAATATTAGAAGTATAACTTTAACAAAATTCTGACGCAAGTTACGTTAATGTTGCACTAATATAAAGAAAATGAGTGAACTTTCCACTTTCGGTGAGAAGACTTACTTTTCCAAAATGGTAATTAACAAACGCGTTGTGTTGATGACACAAAATACGTAGCACGAATTAACGAGTTGGAGAAGCCATGTTTGTTTTCTTTTAATAAAGGTTTAACAAAGGTTTTCAGAGACTGTAATCATATATCTTTGTTTATAATTATAACTGTGCTTCTTTATAATTATAATGATGTCAGCAGAATGTGTTTTCACATTAATGTGATGTGACGCAAATTATGCAAAATCACAATAACAAAATCAATAAAGAGGTAAACGGATAAGACAATTTTCATTCTGTTCATTCTAATTTACATGTTTGTATTGCCTATGAAAGAGATTCGTGTAAAACATCAAATAAATAATACAGTAAAAAAAGCTCTGTAGACGTGGTCTTGAAATATACTTGAAATAACATTGCAAAATGATGGAGAGGATTTTTTTTGTTTCGTTGTCCAATTCCTACCGCCAACTCTACCTACCAACGACAGGTACAATAGCAATTGTAAAATATCCCGTAATAATTTTGCCAGCGCTTTGGGCGGTCAATTGACGTCATCTGACAGAATTTCATAGTACTATCTCTCAAAGTAGGCAAGCGACAAGGGAGGTAAAGGCGCGCGCAAGTGCTCCGACATCTCATATGGCGGATATCTGAGGGGACCGGTGTCAATACCAGAGAGAGAGAGAGAGAGAGAGACATGACTTTCCCAAGAGACAATCGATAGCATAATCTTCGATTACGCATTGATTCAATTAGGAAGATGTGAGTATCGAGATATGTATAATTATTGCCAATTAAGGACAGTCGGTTGGGTCTATTATTCGTTCGTACGATCTTTACTTTTTTTCTTTCAGGAGAGCCTTGTGTCGCGTTAACGCGTCGATCATTCTCGGCTTGCCATGAGATTGCCGCTTTTATTAATATTTCGCACGATGAATCCTGCGTGTAAACGAATCCCGTGTCTCGCCTTTGCTTACCACGCCCGGCACTCGAAATGGTTCGCGTGTGAGGCAGCGATGAATTCTATTAGACAGTTGGTCTAAAAGAGTTCAGCTATGGCTGAAGGTGGAACGGAACCAAAGTCTATTGACGGTCAAATTTCGAGAGGTCAGTTAGAGATAAACGAATGCCTCGGTAACTGGTTGACGTACTTACAGGTTGGTATATTTCTGGTATTAATATATTTCTGATAGTGCTTTGGTTGCTGTCACATATATAATAAAATCATCTCTCATATTACTCAGACACTTAATGGCCTATGTACAGCTGGTACTAAACTGGCTCAATCTCTGCAAGCGCTTCTCTCCGTGCATGATACAGTGGCGCAGTGCCGTCTGACAGGCCAATGTCTAGCTGGATGGGAAGAATTGACGAAAGCTACGCATATAGCCAGCAGTACAGTTAAAAATCATGTGATCACTGCTTTAAGGGATCACGAAGCTCGCGACAATGATGGAGATAAGCATGTTAGTAATATATTTTAGTCAAATAGTTGTAAAAATGTTGTCAGTGTAACTGATAGGGTACTTCATATTTTCAGGATATTCTCAGAGAAAATCTCTTGACATTCATAAACTTGCAGTATCAGTTTTGCGTTGCTTGTTGCGAGTGCTTGGGTAAGGCTGTATTATTAAAGCGATACGTTTTTCATAGTGATTACATAGAATAAATTAAAATAAGGTTATTTCAAATATTAAAATTATTGGGATATTTATGTTAAAATTGTAATTTAAAGCGAGACATCTTAGTTAATGGTTTTGATAGAATTAAAATTCTATTTCCAATGATTTGGTTGATTTCAACTATTCAGGTGGCATGGCAGAATGCTCTTGTTCTCAGAGCGGCAGTGGTGATTGCGATATCGCCGCGCTTCAGCAATGTTTCGAGCGTCTTTACAGCTCGCCGGTACCCCCAATTTCTTCCTCGTCTACCCAACACTCCACGCAGAATCGGAGATCTCCCTTGCCATATTCATTATTTCCTCTGCAGGTAATTGGCATTTTTTCTTTTCTTCGCACTTCTTTGATTTTCTTCTTAATCGTAATAAACACATCATTGGCTTCATGCTCAAGGTTCAGAGGAGATGGTCGGAAACAGCCGCGGCGGAAATGTCAGGCGAGTCCGCCGAGAGCACGATGAGGCGCTGGTCGATGCCCTGGGATTGCAAGCACGTCATAGAATGGCCGCGTCAGGACGCGAGGTCGCGATTAAGGGTGCCTCAGCAGGACCGTAGTAGGTCGACCACGCCCGACTCAGTGTGGAAAACATCCACGATGGCTAGTCAGGACGGTCTCCAGGAGGCCATTCAGCTGTTGTCTTGCAAGCCAGGTAGCAAATGCTCGATCCACCGCGGTGGTTTGCGAGAACAACGTAGATGATTTTTGCGAAAGGAAATCTCACGAAAAACAATTTCTCCGCGAAATATGAATCCAAGGATACTCTTGTACTCTTGGTAATCTAGTCTTTCTTCGAAAATAATTATCCGAAAATTAAAATTCATCAAAGTCAACTATCGAATACACAATACTTTTAGACAATACTTTTAGCAGAACAACTTTCCTTTCGTTCGTGATGTCATCTGATCTTCGTAAGATCGAAATAGCGAATTTGATGGGCTAAATATGAATAGTTATCCCATTTTTTTCGCGTTCTCGCGTGCGATTCGAAGGTTATACGTTGTGCAGGAGTTCGGCCGTCCAATCAGCTCTCGGCTTATACTAGTCAACATATCCCGGGCGTCACTTTGACGACCTGCAATTTCGATTCGAATTACGATTCCGCTATTTGGTCAGGGTCACGTAGGGTAGGTTCACCCAGATGCTGGCCTCAGGACTCCAGCGATCATTCCGATCAGTCCGGTCACCGTGATAGCGATCATAGTGTTCATAGTGGCGAGCACAGGGACTCGGGTAAGATTTTCTCATCGTTATTTATCATGAAGATAAAGTTGTTAAACCGAAATAGGAAATCGCGAGGGGATTGATGTACTGTCGTAATGTTGCTGCAGAACAAAGTGGTGCCAGTGGCAGTCATGGCGACAGCAAGGATAGCATTCACTCCCATTGCGATCATAGAGAAACTGAAACTGGTGAGTGCGTCAGTATCGTGCTCCTAATGTTTTATATTCGCCGAAACGCTCCGAAAATGATGTTAAGGTTCAATCAAAGTTCAAGCGCGATGATCTTAGATCAAACGTTTCTTTGAAGGTACAGCGGACACACTGCCATCTCGCAAGAGCAGCTCGTCAACCGACTCCTGTGTCTCGGCGCACAGCCGATCGGGTTCGGAAAGCGCGGGTGGCGGGGTAAATAAATGAGATTAGTTTTCTCACTGTTAAAAAGATGAGAGAAAGAAAGAAGGAAAGAGAGAGAGAGAGAGAGAGAGAAGAAATACAATGTTAAGT